GGCTCCTGAAGCTCTTTCATCCTTGGGGCTCTTTGTTGTTTTTTGAATCATTTCAGATACTGTGTAGCGCGAGCGGCGGTGCCACGGGCACCGAGAGTGCTCTGTTTGGCCTGCCGTGCGCTCATAGAGTCTAGAGATATTCGAAGCTCTCTGCTGGGCAGGAAAACCGTGCTGGTAGCGGGGGTCGTAGGAGTGCTGGCTGTGGTTCTCGGCGCTGATAGCTGCGCATTCGCTTTTGCAGGTGGAGAGTTTACGCGCAACAGCAGGTCTTGCAGATTGAGCATGTTCGTGTTTCGGCTCCAGCTTCCAGCAGCGGAAAGTTCTTTGTGTAGGAAAGCCTCCGTGGTTTGTGCCATGGCGCGTGAAGTGGGCTTGGATGCAGCGATCGATATGGAGGCAGCCGAGGAGCTTTTGCAGGAGCACGCGGCAGCTGTGATCCCACATCTTCAGCTTCGAGGCATTGCCGGCGACGGCAACTGCCTCTTTCGTGCCGCGGCTTGTCAAGTTCCTGAAGGTGAAGAACACCACGTGGCGCTGCGAGCCATCTGCGCAGCTGGTGCTGCTGATGCATGGGAGCGCTACGCGCCATACCTACCGCCTTGCGGTCGAGAGCAGGTGCTGGAATGGTGCCGCAACATGGCGCAAGATCGTTTTTGGGGCGATGGATTGGCGTGCCGGGTGTTGACGGACTGTTTGAAGCGGCCCATGATCATTTGGCGGCTCGTGGAGCCCGAACAGAGGCCTTCATGCTTTGTGCCCGCCCTGGGCGTGGTGGGCGCACCGGTGCAACCTATCTACCTCTTCCTGGATGAGAGAGTTCGCGGAGCTGAGCACTACTGGGCCCTGGTTCGGAGCGAGCGGCCTTCTCAGCGCAGTCCGTGGCAGGCACTGCAACCCGCCGCTGCGGGCGGTGGCCGCCGGGGGAGCTTCAGGCAACGTCGTTTGCCGGCCTCCTTCTTCGGGACTGCCAACCAACAAGCATCATCGGGACCTTGGACGCGTCATGGCTTGACGCAAGGTCAGATGGAGCAGCTGCTGCTTATGCAGGACGAAGGCGCATCTCCAGCTGAGCTAGCAGCCAAATTCTTCTCGGGACAGCCCGGCAAATTGGACACGCTGCGCCGATGGGCTTCCGCCGACAAGGAGAAAATTCGCGCCAGAGTTCGAGGACATGTGGCAGCCAAGACGCAAGCGCACAGCTCTCACCGGGCTATGGCGGCATCATGCCACATTAATGACAAGAAGTGCAGTAAGCTCCAGGCGGAGAGGCCTCCCGCAGCTTCGTCTTGGCAACAGGAACTCGGGCGACGGTTTTCTGTCGAAGGCTCTGCAGCGGCTGGCGCTCTTCCTGACCAACGCTCGAGCCAGATGCCTTTAGCGCAAGAGTTTCGCGGCTGGATGCGCCACGCTTCCTGGACGTACTGCTCGAGGCACAAGAGCATAATAATTAGCTGCCAACGTGCTTTCTTGCTTCGGTCTTCTGATAGCTGTTGCTTCTGCAGCTCAGGTGCGGGCGGCGAACGGCAAAGAGAACCTGCTCCTTGCATTGGCGCTCCAACGGGGCAGCCGCCGTCTCCTGTCCATGCTCTCCCACATGTGACCCCGACCCAGCTCGTTTGGAGGCCCGTGCTTCGGCTGTGGAGGAAGCGGCCAAGCAGGAGAACAGCAGCAAGCTGCAGGCGTATTTGACCCCGGACGCCAGCTATTGGAAGGCTTTCCGGGACTGTGTGTGCGAGGGCGCCCTCAGCTGGGATGATTTCTTTACGATCTTGCCCAAGGAAGATGCCGCACGTCTAGCTCCGTTGGACCTGAAGGTGGACTACATCACGCGGAGAGGCGGGCAAGCTTGCGTCACGGCCAAGCAGAAGAAATCCTTGGTGCGTGCAGTTTGGAAGCCTGTGGACGTCACGGAGCAGCTGCCCACGCCCGCTTCCCTCCGGGCTTTCACCTTCCTCATGGATCACAACGACACCTACAGGACCTACGTGCTTCAACACCGTGAGCTACTTCGAGCCAATGCGAACTCCGGGAACGCCTGGCGCTATGTTCCGACAGCTCAGCTGCTGTTGCAGATGCCTGGCATCGAAGTGGCTGCGCGACCTTGGCTCTACGTGAAGGCTCGGGGGTAACTGCAGAAGCCCATGAGTTGTTGTTTGTCGGATTGGATAGTTTTGCACCTGTAGGCAAGCCTCGGAGACACGGATATATCCAACCGGCTGAAAGAATTGGGCATCCTGAAAGCGTCCTCCACGCCGAGCGCCAAGACTCACTGGCTTCGCAAAGTGCTCTCTCGTAACGTGGACTTCGTCAAGGACTACCCGTTGCAGTGCTTCTTACATGACGCGACCATGGCGAAAACAATTACCTCAGTGGTCGCTGTTGCTGAGAAGCAGAGGATCTCGCCAGATGAGGCTGCTGCGGACATGCCGCAGTTTGAACAATACTGGCACCACCAAGCACAGAAGTTGGAGGACGTGTGTCGGCAGGCCCAGACGTTCCCAAATCTCTTCTTCACCATCGCTCCCGCTGAGTGGAGGTTCCCCCTACACGGGGGCATGTTCGACAAAGCAGACCAGGATGATCTCAGCCAATGTCAAGCCTGGTTGACCATGCACATGCGCAACTGCATCGGGGCCATCCTGGATGAGGTGCTGTGGAAGAACAAGGCCCAGGCGGCCGACTTGGGAATTGCGGAGATCGAGCACTACACCTATCGCTTTGAGTTCCAAGGACGTGGCACCCTTCATGTGCACGCCGTGGCGTGGGTGAAGTTCAATCCCGGGGTCTCCATAGAGGAGTTGAGCGGCCGCAGCGGTGTGGGAGTTCAGACGAGTCCATTGGTGCGGCTCTTGGAGGAGGTATTTGATTGTGGAGCTGTTGATGTGCAGTGTGGACATTCAGAACACAATTTGCTGCGCTACGTGGCCGGGTACGTCGCCAAGGCCTCGGATTCGTTGCGCTTCCAGAAGGGAGATGAGGCACGAGGGACACCTGCCGAGACTTCCCGGTGGCGGCAAGTGTACCGGCTCCTTTGCAAGCGATCCCCGCTGGAGCAGGAGATGGCCATGTACTTCGCTGGCCTGCCGATGGTGGAGTCTTCTTTCACTGGCGAGAGAATGTATCCTCCCATCCCTGGCAGCACGGCCGTCAACAAGTACAGGCATACTTACATGGCGTATCAAGAGCGCCTGTCTGCAGTACATCCAGAACATGCCCAAGTTCAAGAGGTAGCAGAGCATGGCCAGGTCCTTCGGCTTCGAAGTTTCGTGGAGTGGTGTCGCCTGTTTCGTCTGCATCAGTACATCAAAACTGGTGAAGATGCTTGGAATTATGTGGTGCGAGAGCGCAACACTCGTGGCCGGGGATTCGGCAAGAAGTGTGCCATTGCCATGACTTGGCCTTTCGAATTGTTGGACATCTATTGCGGCGCCTACGCAGCTTCCTTTCTTACCTCGCCTCGAAGCGGAGCTCTGTCTCCCTGCCGATGAGCTCGTCCCCGAGAACACGCAGCACCTGGCAATGCTGCTTCGTCTATATGATGGGGATGTGGAGGCTGCCTTGGAGTCCATGGTGCAGGAGCTGCGCTGGCGCGGCCTGGGCGAAGATCGGCAGGCAACCTTTGCGGCGCGCATCCGCGCCGGAGCTACACTGCTGCAAGCCGTGGCCGCCGGAAGAGCACGACCGGAGGATTGGTCGGCTCGCTCCATTCGGGATCCTCCTCGCAGGGTCTGGTCCCCGGAGCAACAGGCAGTTCTGGATGCAATTGCCGCGGGCGTGATGCCGCCAGATGCCGAGGAAGCGCAACCTCGCCCGCGCCTTCTGCGCGTGACGGGCGGTCCGGGCACCGGCAAGACGGAAGTGCTCCTGGCAGCGGCTGAAGCTGCAGCTCGGACCGGGTGCCGCGTGCTGCTGGGAGGGCCCATTGGGCTGCTGGTGGCCGGCCATCGCAGTCGCATTCCACCCGGCTTGGACATTACCGTCGAGACAATCCACTCTGCGTTTAAAGTGGGCCGTGATCGAGACGCGGCCTACATTCCTCCTGGTCGGCTGCGCCACTACGACCTGATCATCTTTGATGAGGTGTCCCAGATCGATGCGGCGGTGTGGCAGAGGCTGCAGGTGGCCTTGGGTGAGCTGTCTCCTTGTCCTTTTGTCGTTTTTGTGGGCGACTTTCAACAGCTACAGCCGGTTGGCGGCAGGCAGCAGTTGGGAGAGGATCTGGAGCAGGCGGTGCAAGCAGGAGCGTTGCAGCATATCGAGCTCCTGCCACATGCCCACGCGCGCTCCACTGACAGGGCCATGTTGGATTTTCTTCATCATGCCCGTTGCGAACAGCCGAGCCGTGAGACCCTGCGCAGCTTCTTTGCTGACCGACTACTTCCCGCCGGCTCGAATCTGCACGCTGCTGCCCGAGAGGTATTGCGACTGGAGGCTGCCCTTGGGAAGCACTGCACAGTTCTGGCTGTTACCAATCAGGGCGCTGCTCGTTTCAACCAAGCCCGCTTGGCTCTGGAATTTCCGCATGTGGCGCAGGCTCTGTCCGCGGGGCACGGCATCCTCTCGGATCCCGCCTACGGCGAGCAGAATTTCATCGCCGTAGTTGGCGCCAGAGTCCGATTGACCCAAAACCTCGACAAGGAGCGAGGCTTCGTCAATGGCGCCATGGGCGTGATCACTCAGGTCTTCGCGCCGGACGTCTTCGTGGTGAAGACGCTTGAAGGGGTCCTGCTTCTGGTTCACCGAGTTCAGCAACAGCGTTTGAAATTCCTGCCGGTCACCTACGCCTACGCCACGACAATGAGAAGGGCGCAAGGCGCCACACTAGAACTGGTGGCGCTATGGTTTGACCGGCGTCGCCCAGACCCCGGCTACGCCTACGTGGGAGCCTCGCGGGCACGGACCCGAGCGGATGTGTACCACTTGGGGCGTCTGCGGCGAAGTGATTGGCGTCCTGTCGGCGGAGGTGATCAGATGCACCCTGGACCTCTCAGTGAGACCTCGTCGTCCGACCTCGAAGACCGAGACGAAGGTTCCTCGGAAAGTGAGGAGTCATCGATGGATGTAGATCAGGAGGGTAGCTCAGATTCCGAAAGCGGGCCGGAAGAGGAGCCCGAAACGAGCTGTTCTCCGGATTGCTCTGAGAGCTCTGAGGACTCGTTCATTCCGTGAGTTTCACCTTGACGCAATTGAAGGACCCAGACAACGTTGCCCTGCTTGCAGAAAATCTTCAACTGCATCAGTACGATATGCCTGCCTAGTTGTCCAGCTGCCTGCGTTGCGTAATGAGTTCCAGTGGGTTCGCTACTGTTCAGGCTTCATGGCGAATGTGTGTACCGTGTCGCAAGCTGTTCCCACGGAACGATGTGATTGCCCATCGTGGGCTGTTGCCACGACTGAGGTCTTTAACTCACACGCCGCTGTTGCTATTTCGGATCACACAGCCTCCTTCCTTGCCTGCCCCCATTTTGCTGGAGCCCGTCATGGACGCGCAAGGCCTCTTCGGAAGCGGTGCTGCCGGCGCTGCCGCTGATGCCGCCTCTGCAGCGGACGGCCGGCGCACGAAGCTGTTCGGGTATGACTCAGTCGCCGCGCAACTCCTGGAACCCTATGGCAAATCGGCCCTTGGTGACATGGAGCTTCCAGAACTATGGGATGCCACCAAGAAGGGGAATCGCAAGGCGGCTTACCACAGCCATCTCTGCGCAAATTTGACCACCGATGCCTGGCATGCGGGCGCGGGCATCAGTATGACAGCTGCGGCCCTGCTCCACGCAGTGGAGGCATTGGAGCACGAGAACCTCAAGCGAGTCCTCAAAGAAGATTTGTATGCTGCTGCCATGGGCGAAGCCAAGACTTTGAAACCGCATCTGGAAGTCCTCAACTTTGGTAAAGGCATTGCGGGTCAGGGGCCCGTCCAGGCATCCTTTCGCGCTGTCAAGAAGCGGCGCGTGGACCCTAGCGCTCCTGCACCAGGGCGCTCCGAACCGGAGGTGCAGAAAGCCGCTGAGCAGCTCCACGACTGGCTGTCCAAGCCTTCGTCGCCTTTGCGAGGGCTGCTCTTCATCTTGTCTGCCAACAACGTCTTCTTCACGGGCTACGCGGCCGAGAAAGTTGCCAGGGCGTGTGTGAAGCACAAGCCTGCCTCCAAGGAAGACTTCGTCACTGGCGCTTTGGCCCGTGCTCGTACTGTCGCTGCTCCTGGTGAAAGCACGGGCGCTGCGGGGTCGCAGGACGCATCGGGCCTGTTCGGCACCGCCGCCTGAGCCTGCGCATAGCAGACCGGCACTCTGTATTAGGTCACACGAGGGGTGGCTCAACCATGTTATTGTTTTTAATCGAAATGAATTTGTTTGGAGCTGCTGCAGCCCGCGCGCAGTCGTGTCTCCTAGTCATGCAGCCGCCGAAGTTTGAGGATAGCACAGCTCGACCGGCAGCCCGCAAAAGGCGATGCTTTGTGCGGTGTGAAGTATTGCTGCTTGCAGGGGTTCGTACGGCATCCTGATCTGTGTGGTTGCTACCTCGTACGAGTCAATCTTGTTGGTCACGTTAGACGGAGCAGTATGTAGGAATAACAGCATTCGCCAGCGTTGTTGTGGCGCAGCTTATTACACGGTTGGCACCCGTTCTGGTTCAAGCAAATGCCCACGCACAAACACGCATGCATGAGTGGTTTTGAAATGTATACGGCACG